TTTATTCTATTATTACTTGATTCTGAAAAATCCACATCGTCACTCCCCGCACAAAAACGTGTCCTTTTTGTATGTAAAATATATAGCAGCTATAACAACAGGAGTTAAAGTTGTGCGCAAATGTACAATAGCCATGCCACCCTCGCTTTTTCTTCCTTACGTGTGCTGATTATAGAGTCGCCATTTGCAACCACGCGCAGTCAAAGACCGCAAACAAGTGTTATGCATTAAGACTATATGGAATAAAGGATATTAAGGGGTTACGGCGTTATTCGCTCGCTCGTGCGAAAGCGCCATTGCGCCAACCTGCGTGGGTAAAAAGCAGCGGATTGTTGTTGTTGTTGTGCAAAGTTGCCAAGTAAAAATTGCCTCGTTGTCGTGCGCATTTGTATTACTCTCGGCGCGTGAGAATACCCTCATTTAAACCAGCACGACCCAGTTGCAATCGAATACTATTCGAGTTTCCGAGATTACCAACGCTCCACAGCTTAATTAGATTCGGTGAATAGAAAAATATCATTTGTGGAATTATATTGTTATTTTATATCCTGAATTTTGTGGTTAATAAATAAATTAGATAAAGTCTAATAAATCACCGAGTTTTGTTTGATTATTTTTAACGCGTGCTTTTGTTTGTTGCCAAAATCTATAAAGCACGCGAGTTGATGACACAGGAATGCTTTTATCCGCGTTTGCAACAATGGCAAATGCTTAATTAATGTATTATAGCTGGAAAGCTTGTGTGGGAGGCAATGATCTATTGAGAGTCTTTCTCAAAGGAATTTTTAGTACATTGCATCGATGCATACGAGCATCAAATTGTTCACTTGCGTACACAAAGTAATCGAGCAGATGCCCACGGGTGTCGCTCGGCGGGAATCGTCTGTCAGTTGGCGTACCTACTCTTGTATAATTGATTATTTAACGCTTTGCTGATTAATCATCCACTATAGACGACTAGGCAAAAAAATACACAACGGCTATTCATAATCATTATAATTTTTTCTTCAACAAAAAAAATTGTTTTCATAATAAATATTGTCTTTAAAGTTGTAAGCTTATTTGAATTTTACGCTTTGTTGGTTGTACATCAAGTGGAAAGTGTAATATTAAGAAGTTGAAACTTAATAATATGCAAATTTATATCACGAACGATGCGACTGCATTTTTTTCGTCTTTTTATTTACTTGCTTTGCTTGCAACAGGGATATCCATGTAGAAGACTTCAAAAAGTTGCGTCGGACGACGCCGACGCTGACGCCCACACAACCAGGCTATGTAATTCCAAGTTTCCAATGCAAATATTTACCTAGATCCTGGAATATAAGGTGTTTGAAATACCTTCGGCGACGGCGCACGCTTTGTGAAACTAAACGACCTCTAAACGCTGCGCAAACAATCTTTGTTCAGTGCAAAACACAAGCAAAAACGTCAGAAATGTGTTAAAATTTTTAAATCTCAAATATTTTTGTCAATATTTAAAATGTTTTAATATTAAGTGAGTTTTAATAAATATTAATTCAAAAACAGACGTTTAGTGTATGTTTTTTAGTTTAGTTTAGTTTTTGTGTGAAAAAATACTCTTGTAAATTAATTACATGTGAATTAGCGTCCTGCTAGCTTTTGCAGTTTTCCGTTCTTAGTTTACAAGCATTGTTTGCGCGGTGCGCCAAAGCGTGAAACACTATTTCGAGTTTGTTTGTTGCGTACGTGTGGTAAGCAGGAAAGCGTGAAACAGCACCCTCCCCGGACCGCCTCCTTTCTGCTTTTCCGCTTAACTCTTCTCTCGGGCCGGAATTTCATGCGACGAGTAACTATGGCGAAGGCGCCAACTAACTCAACCGAACGCCACAGAACGCCAGTGTCTCGATGAATTATTTCTACAACATCATTTCATACGTTAGCGCGTTTTAAACTACAACACGAATTAATTTTCATAGATCTTGTTTGCAAAAAATTACGTAAGTTTACAATTCGAATCGGTCAAACAAGGACACAGTTCGTTAACTCTAATTAACTCAAATGTAATTAGGACATCAGAGTGCCACCTAAAGGAACCTAATACGTCGTGAATAAATTTCAGGACATCGTGGCACATTGCCAGAATAAAAAAAAATCTTCTTCGTGGCGCATTGCACACGAAAAGTATTTGTTCTCACTTTTACGTCGTTTTTATTGCAATCTCAATGAAAAAAAATTAACTTTGAAACGCCATTTTGCGTCATGCGTAAAGTGCGAAAAGTTAAGCGGCAAAAACAGACTCACCCGGTTCGAAATGAGAAAAATACAAGAGAAATCAAGACGCAAAAAAGCGCATTAAACTTTTAAGCGCAAAAACGAGCGAACCGGGGAGATATTTTTAAGGACGCAGCGCAAAAAGTAAATAGGATGAGAATGCCTCAACCAGAAGACGGCGTTACGATGCCGTCGGGATCGACTTTCCTCGTGGAAAAGCAGGACTACTTATTTTTTGACAGTTATAAGTAGAGTTTAAAAAATATCATAAAAGTGCGAATTTTTCAATTGCAACTCACACACAAGTTTCTTCAACTTTATAGTTGGACATTAATTTTTTTAAACTTCTGACATCTGTTGGTAACATTCTATAAAATATTCCCGGACACAAAACAAGTCTTGGTCACATTATTTACATTTGTTTCTTGTTCTTTCTTTGCGTAGCTGGAAACTTTTGACTTCTTCAATGTCGTGCGTTCTGCACGAATGCGTGCGCTTTCCTTCTACGCCATAGTCCATCTCACTCCATTTTCCGCTCCAGGGCAATTCGTTCAAATGAGTGCTTCCTTTACTTTCTCAACATTTTGACTCTTTTGCTGCGTCGTTTCCTCATTTCACATAAATGATAAGAAAACGCGCGCAGAACGAAACAGGTGCGTGCGTATGACCTGACTTCTTGCCTCGCGTTTTCCACTTAAGGTATTACGGTTCAAGAACGTTTGGCGTCGCGTAATAAGATCGATTATTTAAATTATTTCACGCACTCGCCGGTGCGGGTGACGCGCACGCGCGGGCGTGTTATGATAAATAGCCGTGGCGCAAGCCAACCGACAAACCAACAAACGAGTCAACCTGAAATGAACAAGCGCAAGCGGCGACAAATAATGTAAACACATTGCGCCAAACAAGGGTGCAAAAGTGAATATTCAAGCTGCAGATGTGGGGAATGTGAACATATGTGTTGGGTGATGAAAACCACGACTTCAATTAAGCTATTGGAATAAATTAAAACGGAAAATTTAAAAATAAAACAAGAAGAAAAGAAAAATAAATAAAAATTCTCAATGTGTTACTAAACACACATTGGTTTATTCATTTTTGTATAAATATCGCATAATAACATTTCCTTAACATTATAGATATATGTATGCATCTCTGCAAGTCGCCCTAGCATTCCATATTCCGGTTCCGGATCAACCAGGGAATTTAAATAATAGCGTTTGTATGTTTTCGCCGTCGCTTCCGCGCCGCACCTTTTGTATTGCGTATTCGTAAATTGCGCCAAACAAAAATAAAAATCATAAATATCACAGCGGTATGGACCCAAGCAATGCAAAAGGCAAGTCGAAGCTTTTGTGCCCAAAAAAAACCACCCGCTACTACGATAAAAGAAAAGCGAGCCGTTTGGGGAAAACGTATTAAATGTTGAATATTATGAATGTGCCTCACCGCACATGAGGAATACAAATCTAGTACTTTCTTCAACAATAAGGAAAACTACATTTCATATGTGATGATTTTATGATACGCAATGTTTCAATCGATATTATAATTTTTTTTTATCTTGAAAAAAAATTTTTGATAATTTTATTCTTTGAAAATTTGCGTTCTCTTGTATGTCAGTATTTCAAAGCCCCGAAAAAGAATGAAAAAAAAAGGGCGCCTGCATAAATTCGCTTTCATGGCACGCGGTCGGCCCCAAGCTGTGCGCGGGTTATGCGCATTGATATCGCACTCTAATTTGATCACGAATGTTTCAGAACGTGAATAATACAGACATTTATTTATATCTTCTCATCCGTGCTCGTTTTCCTTTCAAGTTCCGGTACAAACCGTACGCGTATCCAGCTTATTAAATTTGCACAGCCAAAAATTTATAGTCAAGGTCGTTCAAACCCACATTGTATCTTTAGTAATGCAATAATATTTTCATATTAGTTGAGTATATAATATTATTTCTGCAGCATTTGTTCAGTTTCCCTCTCTGCTTGTTTGCACAATTCCGGCCGTTTTTCATTTGTTTTTCTTCACGTCCTTCGGCGCGCTGTTCCCGCTTGCGTGCAGCATCGATTATGACAAAATGCCAAAGTTCTAGGTTTGTGCTCTGCCATACGGCGCGCATATTAGTGAATTTATGTAATCTCGCTTTCTTCATCCGCATTCCCGGCGCCTTCACCAACGCGCGTCGCTTAAACAAACTCGTTTTCAGCGAGTTGCAAGCTTACACAAACGCCTTATCGATTCCCGCACAAACTAACTTTGCCCATTAGGCTACGAATTCAGCTCTATCGTCGTCATCATCATCATCACGCTCGGCGTCCACAACGCGGAACCATTGACTGCGGCAGCAGGACTGGCAGCCGGCTGCGGATGTTAATAAACCGGCAATAAAAACGTTTCACAAGTGAACATTTTGCGCGTGTGACAATTTGTAACCTTATTTCTTGTAGGTGCGCGTTGAGAGCAGATGTTTGCAACGATTTACACAAACCAAGGGTCCAAACAGTGGAGAAAGTTGTCGCAACGTAAAAGAAAAGCCATTTGTCGAAGCAAAACTGCCTTGAGGTGGTGTTAAATCCAATAGAAACTTTAGAGCCAAGTAAATTCCGCAAGGTATACTTTGGAACAACACATCGAACACAATCACAACGTATGTTTAACCACAAATTTACTTCTGCTTCACACACACACACACAAACCTATTTATTATTATTTTTATATTTATGAATAGAACACAATTAAAAGAAAATTTGTTGGATATATACCTGTGACTTTGTAAAGGCGCGAATTAAAGTAGGTGGAGGGACGCGAGTAGTCGTGGTTCATGTCGCGGACCGCACGCTCGACGGCCGCTGCGGTAAGGACTCGCGCCGAAGGACTCGCACTCGGCGAGGAGTGCGTCCGCATAGCCGAGGCGCACCAGCCTGGCCTACTGTTGCCGCTTTGCGGCGCGAGCGGCCACGCCAGCAGGAGAACGCTGGAGAAGGATCGATCCCGCTTCGGCGCGCTGGCCATCTCCTTCGGCGTGCACGTGCACTAACGCACAGGCCTTTTTCGCTTGCAACAAAATTTTACGCAAAGGCAAACTTGCCAAGACGATTGAATACATAGAAAACTATAAAAAATAAAGTAAAGTAAAAAAATTTAATTTTTTGAAAGAAAAATTATTTTTTTAAATTTTTTTTTTCTAAGAAAAAATGGTAATAAAAATGATTTGGTGCTTTTTTGGTTTTTTAACTAAAAAAATAATTCCATTTGATGGCATTTTAGCAAACCTAGCTTTTTCTTACGTAAACTTTATATTATTCTCTCCGAGCGCAAAGAAAAGGGCGATGAAAATGATGTAATGTGATTGCCATCAGTTGCCATCCAATGCCATCAGTTACACCAGCCTGCGTCCACCAAAACATACAATAACTCAAACTCTAAGTGGAATTGAATGAAATGTATGTTGATAGATACCAAACTAGCATTGAAAAATACCCACAATTTTTCTTTTCCAAAAATAAAGTAAAAACATCAAAGAACTTCGAATATAATTGAATTCTGTAACCAAAATTAATTTTTAACTCTTGAGGTTTCACCGACAGCACAAAGGTGAGCAGAATGCAAGTGGTGGCAAGCACAAGTAGTTGTTTAGCAGCCGTCACCTGCCATACATAAATTTCGACCGAAATTAACGTCCCTAAAACATTTTCGCTCGAGTTCTCCAAGCTTTCGCGCCGGCAATGAAACTTCTTCTTGCGTGGCTGACGCTCAAAGTTACGCGCGTTGAGAGGCGCACATGCCATGAATCTCGCGCCTGTCTGAAGATAATTTTATTTAATTCCACAGCGACTGCTTGCCCTCCCGACACCGGCAGGCATGCATATAGAAGTATTGCAAGAACGTGTAGTTGAAATGACAGCAGAGTGCAAAACTTGTTTTAATCAAATTAAGTAAGAACTCAAACCGCAAAATTGTTTCGGAATTAAATTATCAACATCTTTTATTTGCGGAAATTGTCTGTCCTTGTAATATTGGTCACAACCCAATTCCATTTGGGGTTTTATACGATGATCCCGACCAGCGTGTTGTGAATTGACCTTAGAATCTACGACGACGGCATCAAATGTAGAAATGTCCTTGTGGATTTCCCGCCATTATCCTACTCCAACCCGGGAATCTTGCATGCGTACTTTCACTGTTTTCGGTCGTATAAAGTTACTACTACATTTTTCTTTGGTGTCCTTTCTATACTATGATATTTATTACAAAACGGAAGGATTCAAGACTTGTAAACAAATTTTAAAAAAACTTTTTAGAAAATTACAATTTTAGTAGTACGAGATTGATTATGAGCAAGCGTGGCAAGCGTTTAATCAATCGAGTGTTTAATTACGTTTAGCCACATGATGCTTACGCTATTTTTTCTACTTCTACTCTATTTCCCAGTTTTGTGATGCAACGTAGATAAATACGCAGGCACAAGCTACACCCCGTGACTAAGGCCCGTGACTAAAGTACTTTAGTCACAACCTTAGCCGTCCGTCTTTAAAATACCACTTTTTGTGTCTCAAACCCATTGATAAACTGATGTTTTAAAGATGTAAGTAGAAAAAAGCTTATTTTATCATCAATCCATTTACGTTTCCTCTTATTTCCGTTTTCGTCCAAAAAGTTTCACGCCTTGTTCCTGAATGACTATTGAGTTGCAAAGCGTCGATACTTTTTAACCCTCTTACAAGTAGTACCACCACGCTGGGAGACTAAAAGGCACGTAGCGAAACTAATAATGAAAAGAAACAAGCTGTGCGAGACAAGCATGGAATCTGAAGCGTTTATGCCTCTGTAATTGATGCACACTTGCCTGTTCAATTTGCTTTGACTGCCGTTCGCACATTCAATATAACCTGAAGTGCACTACAACAAAAAATACGCGTAAAGTGCAACTATCAATTGATACAAAGTAGCTATTTATTCTTGAAATAATGAAATTGCAAAAGTATTGCACTTTTTTCACATGAAAAAATTTCAATTGTTTGCAATGCAACACCTTAGACAATACGCAGGTTAAACAAGGAAACACGGTAAAAACTGTTCGGATAATAAAAGAAAAGCGTCGAATTCGTCTAGCCTTGCACTTGAGGTAAAGGAACGAGAGTTTGCACTGAAGTACAGCTTACACAAACTAAAGCTCTCATTAAAACCTTCATTATTTTAAGTGCTCACCGCAACATACTGTTAACCCTAACGAGATGTTTTAGACACAAAGATTTTAAAGGAAAAATGCTTCCAGTTTGTGAAATTTTCCAAAAATAAAGCGAAATTATTTCGTAGATTTTTATAAACGCGTTTGAAGTGCCCGGCTGCTGGGTCGCTGACAAGGGTGTGGGTCAACAAGAGATTAATACCGCAACGACGGTTTGAGTGGCTTTCGGGTGAAGCGAAACTGGCTTCGAGCCGAAATTCGACGAAAATCGAACGAAAGAGCCTGCCTGGCCCATCACTCGTCCATCGACAGTCGACGTGAATCGTGCCAACCTGCAATACAAGCCGGTTTTCCGCCCTCTTGCCAATCACGCCACTCGGCACAAGAGTAAACGCGCAACATCTCCTCTTCTGGATTCTGGAGTGGCTTGATCGATTCGACCTGTGCGCGCGACATTAAAAGACAAAAGACAAAACGGCGAACGCGAAAAACAATGGCGCTGGTACGTTAAACGGTAAACCATCAGTTTCTACTAATAGTGTTTTTTGTACACATTCCACTCAAATACACTGGTTAACAAATAGAACGTGTTCATCCGCTGTTTGTGCGCCGAAACACAACATTTCAGCTTGGCTTGCGATAAAACTGAAACATCAATGCCCATGAGCGTAAACAAAACATGACAAATGCGTTTAACGCCCTTTTGCTGACTGAACTGCGTTGTTTGAAAATCTCATCGACTGCTGCGCACTTTGTAACTTTGTAATTACCAAAGCCAGCCGAGGCTTTTGAGTGCTTTTCATAATTTAATTAAAGAGCGTGTATTTTATTAAAAGTTATCATGAGAAATTATATAAAACACACGTATTGATTATATAATATTTGTTTATTATGACAAATTATACGGTGCATTAACACTTCTAATAGCACATTACACAAGTGGTTGTTGCGCTGTTTATTTAAGTAATTGCGTGAAGAAAAATAGCAATCGTAGTTAACCAAAATGCATGCGAATGCAAACGCAAAACACTTCGCAGGGGATGTTTGTCGAACGCGCCCGTATTGTTTGTTTTGGCGACGAGCTAGCTCGTGAGTGTGAACATTGCTGCCGCTGCCAATTGCTGCCGGGAGCGGCGGCATGTTGCGACAAACAACAATGAGTCGTGTTCATAACGCGGATGCGAATAGGTGCGAGCGACGCATAAAAGATTAATGAATAGAAGCTTAGATAAAACTCAGATAAAGCGACAAACTCACTTTATGCACAATCAGGAAACTTTTTTTGACATAAACCAGACAGTGTGCAGATAAGCTGTTTTATCAACGCAGCGCTAGAGGGACTCAAAAAGGGTTATTTTGACGTTCAAAACATAACAAATCTGGGGATTTTTGTACGATTTGATTTTCCTTGTAGAGAATTTTCCGTAGATTAAGATTTTTAATCATTTCTTCTTTATCGCTTCAAGTTTGCGAGATATTCGCAAAAAAAAATGTTAATGCGTAATTTTTCTATTTAATTATTTTTTATCGCATCATATTAAGAATTTTCCGTTGTTTAAAAATCACCGATTCGTTCCTTTCTATCCCTTTTAGTTAACGTGATATTTGCAACTGAAAAAAACGTAATAATTAAAATGCTCTTTTTTTTACACTTTTAGTCACAATTTCTAAACCTTTACGCCCAAATTTTTTTGTATTATCTTATTTTATCTTATAGAAAATTTTTCGAAGATTAATAATCTTTAAGCCGTATCTTTCTAGCGCTTTTAGTATCCGAAAAAATTGCAATCAAAAATCAAAAAATTGAAAAATGAGAAACTTTGACCATTTTTCCTCTTTAATGTGAAATTATATAATTATAGCTTCTTAAACAATTTACTAAAATCTCAATAAAAGTATGATGATAAAGAGCATTTTCAACATCCATTCAATGATGGCTCCATCCAAGCATTAAATCCTGCACTTTGTTAAGAACTCACGGAATAAGCGCGAGCGAGATAAAGACTGCAACGCTAAGAATGACGGATAAATCAGCCGGAAGAATGCGCGTCGCCAATTGAGCGTTCATTATTAAACGAAGTTCATCGGAGTTGTTGAAGTATTTTATCAACGCTCGGCCTTGCGCAAAGTTTTCTGGTTTGATTAAATTGTTCCGTGCAGTTTCATTTGTAATTACTTATTGCGGCAATGATTTCAACTTGCTTCCATGTACAAATTCACCTCCAAAACATTGCATTTAATATAAAATAATAAGATGATCAATTTCTATTAAATTTAAGTGAAATTGTTGGCTATAATTCACGTTATGCAAACAAATGACGCTGAAGCGTTGTTATTAATGTGGCAAACATTAGCGACGCGTTACGCGGCGCGAAAAATGTAATTCGCCGACATTATAATAAAGTGCTCAGTTTCATGAAATATGCAGGTAGTTTTCATAAAACTTCGTTACGCATTGCGCTACCAAGCGTACTTGCCTAACGGATTACACTAAATCTAAACGTGACATGAATAAATATTTAATTTATATTTTGTTCAATTATTAAAACTACTTTTGTACGTTTATAAAATTTAGATTAACTTATCGATTGGGAGGATTTTCATTTTATGTCGGATCATTTGTTTTTATGTTTGTTGTACTCACATCCTGTAAACATGAAAATAGTTGGCACTAAAGTTGTACCAGCTACAAATTCCGTTTCATTTCACCTCACATCCGACGCGAA